ATCTTACACATTGTTTTGTTTATCTGATGTTTTTTTTTCATGGGTCTATATGTTTGTGTTGAACCACAGATTGCCTCTCAGAGGACATTAAAGTTTTCTTCTAGGTCTCAGTCACATTTTATATCTATATATAGTGTAGAAGAGAAAAGGAAAAAAAATTACTTAGAGGATTTTTAACTTTGAAAAAGTAAAGAAATGTCTGAAAGTGGCTGCAGCATTGTGCAGCACATTTTCTTTTCTGCTATATTTTAAGTGACATAAGAAGATGAGGCATAAAGATAAGAGTAAGAAACCACAACAAATACTAAAGGTTGACCTCATAATGATGATAGTGATGAAGATCTGAGATGATATGGCTTGAAATAGTCCTGCTAGATGCCTGCTGGAGGTCTCTCTGGGTGGGGATGTTACAGACTGGAGCCTCTTAATTGTTTGAGTGACATTTGGGGAAAGGAAACACGGCCTGCATCGACAGAGTTCAGGTCAGAAACATGATCAATTGAGAAGCACTTACCAACCAGGAGTCACACCACTGACACTGAAAGCTGTTTTACCTAAAACAATAACCATTATCAATCAATATTGTCTTTCTGTCTAACTTTCTTTGCATTATTAGTGTCAATGCAAAAACCCCACAACACATTCATTCTGCTGAGGTGCAGGTGAGTAAAGATAACTATCTGGAAATTACAATCTGTGACCATAATCTCTCATCCTGGTCTGACTGCAGTGATGCAGAGATAAGAAAAGCGGTTTCAGTCTAGTCACTCTACTGAGAAATTTTGCAGAGGATAGCAAAACTTTGGGAAGGAATTTGGCATCTTTAACAACATCAGCAGCTTTGTGTTAATGTCCTTTTTCTGCACGTCTCTTCTTTTATAATCCCCTCTGTGTGGAAACAATGGGCCTGTATTCTTGATTACAATTGTGTGAGTATCTCAGTATATAAAGATACAACAATGAATAATTATGTTTTAATGAGAATTTAATTCATTTTAAATCGGATTGCCTGTTTTTTACAGCCAGGAGGCCATGATTTCCTCTCCAACATAAACTTAAGTAAAGAAAACAAAAGAAAGCCTGTTTTATTTATTAAACATTCATTATAGCTTCTGTAAATGTTATTTATATGTGATAAGCGTTTTTGACACAGCCAGACATTAAAATCTGCTTTCCTCGCTTGTTGTAAAGGTAATAAAAATGTAAATACACTGAGTAAGTAAAATACAGGAATAGGCTTGTAGTCAGCTCCAAAAAGTCCCCAGATTCTTATACATACACATAAAAATACAGACTACATTATGGGCAGCTACGGCCCTGCATAAGCTTAATTCTCAACCTTTTCCCCTGAGAATATTGTGATAGAAACTAACGTAGGCTGCTCTCCGGACATCATGCAATTGTCATCATCTAACAAAGTGTTACACAGCTTTTGGAAAAGTTTCAGTATCTCTTTATTAAATCTGTACAAGTGGCATGGAAACATATGATCACAGACAGCCATCACCTCTAAACATTCCTCAGCTGTTACATCTTCTTCCATCAGTATGCCTCGCCCTTCAGTCGGCCAGGTTTCAGTTTTGATCCTAATGAGCAGGAATCAAGTGCAATTACGTACATTACATAGCAATCAGCAGACAATGAGAATAAAACTTTTGTTTTAATGACTTGACTCAATTATGTCAGGTTATACCCCGGCTGTAGTGTCAAAATATCAATTTGGCACAATTTTATCTCTCCCTCAATCCCTCCTTTGGGCTGTAACAGCTGGATCTGGCCCCATCTTTGGCCCATCATATTAGGTTTGGCACCGTCTAGACACACAAAATTATCCCAGGCCGTCTGTTTTCATTATATATGTTTTCATTTAATATAAGATTTAAACACAGCTCAGTTTATTACTCCAATTTTAATCAGTATTTTAAGTATGGTCGGATAATACATTTAATCTTGTGTAGGTGTAATGTAACAGAGCACTTTGTTACAGTACTATATGTTTGGGAGTATATCTTCTTGAGTTGTTATATTTCTGTCAACTTTCACTTTTAATCCACTACAACTCCTGAATAAAATGTATACTTCCACTGCAATACATTTACTGTAAGCATCTTCATTATTTACTACAAAATAAAATAGGAAGAGCCTATTTGTAGCCTAACTCAGACTGCAAACAAGCAGGTGTGTTGACTCAGCTTGTAAGCAAGTTAGATTAACCAATGAATCATGTTACTGGGCGAGTGAAAACAAGTGCTCTCAAAGCCGTAGTTTGTTCCAGTCTGCACTCAAAGCCAGGCTGAGACAGAGTTCAGGATGGAAGCAGGAAGAAGGTGATGGAGATGGAAATGATATTGGTTTGGCATTTTCAAAAACTTGGAGGCACTAATACATGGGACTTGCATTAACATTAAGCTGGACAGTCATTGTTTTGTTTTGTTTTTTAACTTAAAGTTCTTCTTTAAGTTGTGAAAAGTGTAATGTAGACTCCATTTATAAGGTGGTATATGCTTGGAGAATAAACTTCATAATTCTGACCGCTTGCTTTTTTATTAATAGCATTTAGTTGTACTTTTACTTTCAATACCTGCATTTAATATCAGAAAGTTAGTTATGATACTGAAGAACAGTAAATATCAGATACTTAAAGACTTTTTCTCTTGTAATATTCTAATAGGTAACTTCCCAAAGTCACTTTCTGGTCTTCTTCAGATTTTTTACTCTCGTGTGGCTTTCAGGTACTTCATCCACCACTGTTCTAATTATATTATAATTATTAATGTATAATTATACATCATAATACATTTCAGGATCTGTCAGGCAGTAGAGAGACATTTACATTTTACGCTTTAGCCAGTTTAAATGACAGGAAATCACATCATTAATGCTCTTAACTGTACTCTACATATATTGTAGATATATATTACATATAACCTCTTTAGAAATAAAACATAACATGACTCGATCTACTCCTGATGATGCTGAAGCCTGTATCTGACTCTGTGAGCGACAGTATCCCCTAATAGTTTCTTGTCTCTCTTCACCATCTCATCACTCATGAGGGGATTTTTTAAAACCATCGTAATAACAGGTTTATTCCAAAAGGTCAAAGATAAAACCAGTTAGACATTATATTTTTCTCTAACATTACAAAATGATAAAGAGAATCTGATCGTATCGCTTGTCTTCTTACATTTTAATTAAAGGCCACCATTGCACTGTGACTCCATTCGTGCTCTCTGTTACACTGCAGACACTAGATACTTAAATAATAAATCTGACTTTTCTTATCGGACGTTTTCTGATGTATTACTGCATTCTTCAGACTAAAGGCAACACAATGTGGTTACATTATTTTGACTTCAGGGTGTCCCCACAGCAGATATCCTTGGCTCAAATATCAGAGTCTGCACGTCCTACGCTGGAATGTGGTTCTAAAGGCTCCCACATCCTCAAGCATCCTGGAATGTTGGGAATGAAATGAGTATTTGAGCCAGGAGGAATAAAGATATTTGTAGGGATCTGTAAGGAGGTGCAAGGCCTAGTTTGAAAAAACAAATACTATGTAGGTTGTACAAGAAGTATCACATGTACAAGCATAACATCCTTAAAGGGTGAGCAGCTGCAGGACATGCAGTGCCCTTTGGATGTGATGTCAAAAGACGCTATAAATGTGAGGTTGATGGTAAAAGGGACGCTGCCCTTTTTGTTCCCGATGCTCAGGTGTTCATGGCAAATTGAACAACGTTTACAAGAGAACATTTAGTCGTCAGATGTAAAGCAAGGAGATTGGTCAAAACATCTAGAGATACATCGGTGCTTTATCTCAAGACTTTACAAAGAGGCATAAGCTGTGAACACCAACAGGAGAAACATTATAGTGATACAGAGCAATGTGAGAGATGTTTATGTAAAGAACATCCAGAGAGGGGATGTTAGGGATTATGTTGTTTATTATTATGATGTTTAAAGTAAGAAAAAGAGAGAGAATTAATCAGTGACTTCTTTTAAATAACTTATTAAAAAACATTTTTATAGACTTGCTTCATGTGATGTCATCTTTTTATTTGTTTTAATTTATAGCTTTTATTCTCTCTTATTTTTCCAAATTATTTAAAAAACTGTTGTTGTTGTTGTTATAAGAGAAATTAGCATAAGAATGAACAAGCAGTAGTATACTTATTCTTTGGAGAAAATAATCTCAAATCAAGGTCTACTTACTCACTCGGGTCTTGTGATTTTGACTCTATCACAGGGTCTTCATCAGCAGATTAAATTTGCTCTGTTGTGGAACTTTTCTTACATCAGAATCAGAAATACTTTATTGATCCCCGGGGGGAAATGTGTCAATAAAAATGTATGTATAGGTATTAACATACAGTAAAAAACAAAAAATAAAAATTGAATGGAAATAGATATATCCAATAAGAGCCTAAGAGTAGTGTACAGTAGGATTTCTCACACATGTTGGTGCTTTCTACAGTGTGAACATCCAGCTACTGTCTCTACAGCTGGACAAGGTCGCTCCCTGGTGGCCGTATATGTCGCCTGTCCTCCTGTAGGTCAACCTTTATTATTATATTATATTATTATAAAGTAAAGACACTTCAAACAGACGACACTAAGCACACTTATAATACAAGTCAACTGAAGTAAACGATGCTATGCTAACGCTAGCTTTTAGAAAAAGAATGTTCTAGCCCGACAACGGACGTCACCAGCGTCCGTTGTCATGGAGACAAGTACACGAATCTTCTGAGATGAGTGAAAAAGTGAGATCAACCACTCCGACGTTATTCCTGGTACCCGCTACTAAACCCGTCCAGACCTGCCGCTGATTGGCTGTTAGTGAGCACACCCCCTTGCCGGCTGATTTGGCTGTTTAGTGAGGCACACCTGCGCTTGATTGGGCTGTTAGTGAAGGCACACCTGCCGCTGATTGGTCTGTAAACGCCCACAAACCTGCTGCTTGTTTGTGAACCGGAGCGACTCCTCTTGAGTGATAACAACATCCAAAGACAGAGTGAACATGGCAGGAGGAGAGAAATGCGAGTTTGAGCTAACTTTTTCGTTTACTCCTCTTCCCTCCAAGAAACTGCCCTTCCTACAGGACAAAGACACGTTAGCACTGTTAATGAAATGGTACGTGACTTAACAAATGTAGCTAACATGAAAATATTATATGTTAATGTTACCTATCTTCTAATGTTAGATTGGGTGTTGGTTATTTTACTTTCTTGTGTGTGTGTGTGTGTGTGTGTGTTGGGTTCTGCTGTATATATGAGTGTGCATATATTATTATATATAAATATGCAATGGACATTGATGTAAACAAACAATGGTAGGAAGAAATGATGAATTAACCAGTGGGTGTTGGTGAGCTCCTTGTTTAATGGATGTGTGTTTTATTTCAGGTCCATGCTGGGGAGGATTTCAGCCGAGTCGTACAGCTTTGATCAGACCTTTTACCCTTACAACAGTGAGAGGTTTGCACAGGTGAGACCCACCATAATACGTTACAGTCTGATATTACAGTGAATAACCACTTTTTACCTTTTTTCCTTATACCTGAAACAGATGTAGTTATAGCTCATCAGTCTCCTGAAAAACAACAATTACTGGTTGTCTGTTTTAATAAATATTACTCATGCGTTACATCACATTTGAATGCTCTTGATGTCGCTCTGTACACGCAGTGTTTCTTCAGAGATCCTGATGTGGTATCCAGTCTGTCCAGGAAGATGGAGGCCGCGGCCCGGGTGCCTCTCGGTATGTCATGTCCCCCAGAAAGCCTTTTCATCACTGATAGTAGGAGGAAATTGATCTCATCTGCTGGACAATATTTGCAGTCAAATTTCTGTGGAATGTTTTTGACTGTGTGTGTGTGTGTGTGTGTGTGTAGACAAGCCAGTGGTGTCTGTTGACGTGGAGCCGGTGCTGTGCACAAAGGTCTCCATGGAGTTGTTTGACCCAATCTACTCTTGTGGAATCCTGAGGCCCTCTGGACATGTAGTTAAATGCTTTCATGATGTCTACCCCGACTATGATGAACTCAGACAGGTCACTCTCGCTTTTCTCATCCACCTGTCTGTCTGTCTGTCTGTATCTTTTTTGACGTGGAGTAAGTCCAAGTCTTTCTCTGTTCCCCCAGATGTTGCAGGATGAGGACTCCGAGCACTACTACGTGGTTGGGAGAGCGGAGCGAGGAGAGTTTATGTTTCGCCTCTTCAAGCACCTGTGTCTCGGAGGAGAGCTCTGTCAGTACGAAGACACTATTGATCCTTACATCAGCACCACAAAGCGAATCTACAAAGACCTGATCAGGTGGGCTGAACCTGACCATGTTTGAATCCATACTATGGATGAAACAACTATTGATGAAGTTTATTGTTAGAAACTTAATGATCTAATAATGACATTGTATTTCTACCCTTTAGTGTTCAGAAGGATCCAGAGACTAAGAAGATCAGTGTTGTCTCCACAGTCCTCAGAGTCTGTGCCTACGTAAGTGAGTGTGTGTTGTATGTATATCAGTGCGTGTATGTTTCAACGGAAACATTTGATAACACCTTTAATTGGCTTGGTGATTCAAAGCCATTGTGAGATATACAGTATACAATATATACAATTTGATAGTACAGTTTATGTAAACGATTAATCAACATATAACGTTTAACTATCTGATTTGAAACTGATTTGTTTAATGTTTAAGGTTTTTAACAGTGTGGAACGACCACACTATTAGGAATCATTTAGTAGAGATCAATAAACTGTCAAGAATTACATTATTAACAGTGGAAAAAGTGGCAGTTTGTACATTTCATGTTTGTCCTCTACCTAGACAACAGGTTTTACTCGCATTTTCCTCATAATTTACACACATTGTATTATTTATCCTCTGCAGGATGAGTCTGGGCAATGTTACCCCGGGAGACGAGAGGAGGAGCAGACGTTTGCCTATTTAATTATCGACCCCTTCAAACGACATGTGACTTTGTTCTCCCACTGCTACGGTGTAGGCAACTTCACATTGTGAATCATTGTCATCAGACTCATGGTGGATGTGACAGGGAGCGTAAAGAATGACTTCACTCTGCAGTCAGTTAGCTTTCCTATTTCACTGTTGTGAGAAATTTGATTAAAATCCTTCAAATGAAGAACACACCAGAAAGCAGTCGCAGTGTACACGAACGAATTCCCAGTTTGAGTTACAAAGGAGAAGGAATAACTATTTTGTTCTATTAATGTATGTCAATAAAATGTTTTTAAACAGCCTTAAAAATGACTCTAGTTAAATGTTAGTAACGCTGCAATGAAACATGTGAACATGAGATAAGATCATGATTTTAGTCCATCTCTCATTTAATATGTATGATTATGACATATTACCTTATGTTTTTTTGTTTTTTGTGTATTTTGGGGGGCTTTTTCCCCTTTATTAAATAGGACAGCTGAAGATAGACAAGAAAGGGAGAGAGAGGGGATCACATACAGCAAAGGGCCACAGGTCGGATTGGAACCTATGGCGGCTGCAGCAAGCACCAGGTCCACCAGGCATAATCATCATTATGTTTGAGTTTAGAAATCACAGCCTTTAAAAATGAATTACATTCTTATGTTTTATTATTTACAACCCCTGCAATAGAAGGCTATCATTCTGTAAATATCAAACATTACACAATATTGATTAGAAAGAAAGAGACCAAAGTCAGCTTACAGTCCAAAGAGCTTTATTGAAACAAATAAATTAATAAATTAGTCAAGTGAGCTAATTTTATCCTCATCAGATACACATTTTTGTATCTCTTTAAAAGATCAAATAGAGGTGTACATTAGATTAGAAAATAAAATGAGCGCCATATTTCATCAACCAGTAGCTACATCAATTGGAATTGGAAGACTTTGTTGGCTTAGCATTTTGCTTATTGCTTTGATCAGTTTGTGTTTTATTTTAACAACAGTTCCAATACCTAAGAGAGCAGTTAAAGGGCAACGAGCTGGAATGTCAAATGGCAGCAAGTCAGTGAACGATGGATAGTCGGGCGTCGTGAAGAAGAGTGAAAAAAAGAGAAAAGAGAACGTGCAGATTGAGACATGCATAGCATTCAGTCAGTTAGACAATCGGTTACTTTTTCTCATACTCGGTTTTCTAGACTAGCGCCCCCTAGTGGCCTCAGAGGTAGTTGTGTGGAAGCCATATTTCTCTATGTGACATGCTTATGGAAGGACACATGCCTGCAGAGTTTCCTGTGACGACACGAATGTCCATGCCTCCAGCCTCCAGATCTGACTGGTGTTACAGTAAGTGTGTTGATGTGAGGAGGTCCTGGTAGACTTACAATGATATGCTAAACATACAGTAATATTCTCAGAAAATATCAAAGGTTGCAGCACCCTAAATCCTAAAATTACATGTTCAGAACAATTTTGGTGCTGTTTCTTTAGTTGGATCAAAGTTTTGCAAAAAATTAAGAGCATGTGATACCCCTAATAGTGTTCTCTTCAAAGCAGCATTTAAGTTTGAGACGGATCCATATCAGATACAGAACGAGGACATAGAAGGCACAGGTCATTTCCTTTCATGTCTTGACTCAAGACTTTACAGGAGACATCCTTAAGATATATATTTTTTTCTTCTAACACTGGGGCCACCACTAACAACAACATGCAATACAGTGGTCTCACGTACATTTTCATGGAGCGCAACATTCCAGGTGACAATGACGTGTTCAGTCTAATACTGCCTCTAATAAGTAGACTTCTTTAAGTAGACAAAGTATAAAGCGACCTAGCATTTCTCTATGAAATGAATGCAAAGATTGTATGATGCCGACAGCGAGCATAGTTTTGCCATTTTATTCCCCATGGCAGCGAGAGCATCAGATCATTAATAGATCTAAAAAGAGTGAGCAATGAAATACATTCACTGTTTGAAGTCTAGGCTTGGCTTGAATGGAAAAGTGGAGCACCTGAGTCAACTGGCTTGACTGGACCAAATAAATTAATCACTTGCAGGGAGAGACAAACTGTTTTCACTGGCCAAATACAGTAGAGTGAATGTTTTTTCTTGAAGCTGGCAGCAATCATCTGATGACATTAAAAAAATATACATATGAGCTCTGCGAGTTGTGAGTGTGAACCTGATCAGCTGTGTGTAGTTACAGTTGTGTCATCCATGATTCAACTTGACAGAAAATGCTACATTTATTCAAAGATTGTATCTAACTGAATTAAATATATTAACTTAAACCCTACAGTCACTTTAACAACCAAAATCATTCTAAAAAAAAATAGAAATTTGCCATTATAGGTTACACAAAATCGAGTGCATGAACATTATTACAGTAAAGAAATTAGAAACAAAAAGGTAAAATTGTACAGGACAAAAATGTGTTATATTTATCAAGTGCCAAAGTATTTAAGTAAAGGAGTTGCTTTCATTGTGTGTGTGTGTGTGTGTGTGTATATGTGTGAGTGTTTGTGTGTGTTTGTGTGTGCATTTGTGCACTCTCCAGTTTTGTCCACAAGCACAGAGCATTTATTTACTGTGCATCAAACATGTCCAAGAAAGAACCAGAAAAGACAGCAGAGAGTAAAGTGGGCTGGCGATCATAGTCAGTAATAGCTAAGGGTGGCGACTGGAGCCTCAACGCTGCACACGGTCCGTCTGTTGTGTAGCTGTAAGGCTGGAACCATTTCCTAAGACACGTGCATTCATGAGGATAATGGCCTGGAATTCATGCGTTAGACCTGGACGCCTTAAATGTTCATTGTTTAAAACTGCATCAAACTGGCCAAAAAGTCTCTACATTGTTGTCCACAGCTGCTGACTGCAAGAGAGAGTAGTAACAGAGTGAGAACTATCCTCCTGTAAGAAAGGCTGTGAAGTATTACTGACTGCCTGACCTGAGGCTAGACGCGAGTGATGAGGAGTGGTGCAAAAAACGTGACATAAATGTCTGAATTCTGACTGGGGATCAGTGAGGTTTTATCTACAGGACGGGTCTGAGGATCATGCATGTCTGGAGGGGTGGGCTGCAAGACAGAGACACAAAGTTAAGTTACTGAAATACTCAAGGAGCTACGACAGCCTTTGAAACATTGCAAAGAAGGGATTTTGGACGGGTGAGAGGACATTTTGGCTCTAGTAAATCCTAAATAAGTCGGAACATTCCTCACTTGAATGCCATCCAAACAGGGAATAAGTTGTTTTTGTTGTTTTTTTGCAAGTGGGCTTGTTGAAGACAGGAAGTCTGAGAGAGAGAATGGAGATGAAAACAAACAACAGTGAATGTACAGTACACATCAGTCACCCCCGACACATTCTCCCAGCTCTTTTTGGGCATTTAAAGCAAGGATTTACATATTTAAAACTCCCTTGTTTGGGTGGGAAGGTGTACCGTGGAGGTTTGGTGCTTTGGCGAGATGGCTGTCGGCCCAGTCTGCCCGTCCAGGTCTGAGGGAGCAGATTATTTCTGTGTCGACGGCTTCTTTACTGCTTATTTTTTATTCGTATGGTGGCGTGAATGCGAAAATGCAGGTAGGAGCCATTATATTCATTACAGTATCAATAACTGCAATGCCATCTTAAGGTACTGGACAAATGACTGGCATGGCACTTGCAGCACTGTCTGCGTCAACTGAGTCAGCAAACTCTCAGTCAGTTGATTCAAGCAGCCAAGAAAAAAAAGAAGAAAAGAAATGATGATGATGGGGGAAAGACTTCTCCAAAGATCTATCAAAATCCAAAGTCTGATTATCTACAGGTGAAGCTTTAAAGTAGGCGTAGATAAATAGCATGAGGTGAGTGAGTGAAAGTGGTTCAGTAGTCAAGTCACAGTCGTCCATGTGTCCTCTCTCTTCATCTCCAGCCTCATCTAGTGGGTTCAGAGGCGTGTGCGGTGAGCAGCTTTGGCCTTGTCAGGTGGAGCCATCTGGTGGCCTCTGTCTGTATCAGCTTTGGAACACATTCACTTCAGGAAAAAGAGGTGAGGAGAGCAGATTTGAGATGGAGGGGTAAAAGTCATCCCAGACACTTATGAAATGAAGTGGAAAAAGAAGAGATTAAGGTCGGGCTGCTTGAAGTGAGGACTCAGCCGCAGAAGGACGTACTGTAAAGGGTTTGTGTCTATGTTCGAACAGCCCTGGGACTGCTCAGCTCACTGTCATTCCAAGTTGCCGCTCTCAGACATGGAGATGTTGAGCGTGTTGGCAGAGGGGAAGAGGTCTCTTTGGTCCGTAGGGCTGTGGTAGTCAGATGTCAGGTCGGGGTCCAGGAGGGTGGACAGGGTGAAGTTGGATGAGCCTTTCTTTAGGCACTGGGAGTAAAAGCTGAGCAGGAGGTCCAGCTTGTTCTCTATAGACTGAACCTGAACAAACACACAGACTGGAATGTGTCAAACTTCTTTTTTCCTGTCTAATGAGATGAAACTTTGTTTCTGTTCATGTTCTATGCTAACATGTGTATACAGTAACACAAAACACATCATTTGTTAGCATTAAGAAACAATATATTGGCTGTCTCGTGGGAGCTGTAGAAAAGAAAAACTGCTGAAAGAAAAAACACTGAGTAAGTGGCACTGAACAGGTTCACACATGAACAGGCACTCAGCTCATTTCCTGCTTTTAGTTTATTGCACTTCCTGTGCTTTTTATGGCACCTTGTTTAGATCTACCAGACTGAATAAAAGCAGTCCACTGAAATTTGGCAAATGATCCACATGTTTACACAGAGAACACAGCTACATAAATCACAATATTCATCTCGTACCTGTTTCTCCACCTTGACTACACGTCCCATCATGCTTAGCTCATCCAGTGGGTCCAGTTCTGGTGGCGTTTTCTCTCCCTTCTCAGGGCGCGTCTTCTTATCGGGCTGCACAGCTCCTCGTCCAATTATCTGATCCACCCTTTTACACAAAAACAGCAGATTACAATAAATATGTACTTATTATTAAATAAACATTACATATCTGGGAGCATAGTCTGAGTTGGTTGCTGGCCAAAAACTACTTAGCCACATAACTCCCTAATAAAACTTCAACGTGTTGTTTTCACATTAGGTTTTTGTACAGATTTAACAACAGTGCTATGACATGTTGATTAGTGAGCTTTAAAGGTGCTGGTTGTTGGATGTTGTTACCTTTGGACAGGGCCTAGCTAGCGAGATAGCAATTTCCCCATTTCCAGTCTTTATGCTAAGCTAAGTTAACAGGCTTTTGGTTGTAGGTTCAAATTCATCATACACATATGAAAGTGGTGTTAATCTTTTCATCTAACTCTTGGCAAGAAAGTGAAAAAGTGTATTTGCCAAATCTTCCTTTAACAAAGCTTAGTAAGTTTCAAAGGCACACATGAAGTAAACTTAAACAATATTTTTAATAAAAAAAAAAAAAAAGAAAAAACAAAGTAACCTACACCTCTTACCCAAACCCCTAATTTTTTTTATTTTTCCAACAATACAGTTTTCAAGCAACAAAGTAGTAGTGACTACATGTGTGCAACCTACCGCATCTGCAGGCTCTTGATACGGCCCAGCATATCCAGGTGTCCAGCAGAGTACTGCTCTATGACGTCTTTCACATCATACGGACGCAGTGTCTCCTTAAACTTCCTCTTGGCCACGAGGAACTTTAAGATCCTGCACAAATACACAAACGCACCAGACTCACGGTTATCACTCCTCTGAGAACCTTTAAAGAGCCTCACACAGCGAATCCACACATATGGACGTACAATAAATCTTTGGAAAAATGCAGGGGCAGGACAGCTATCAAACGATGCAGGAGACCCCGAGAATAACAAGATTAATTGCAGTCAGAGTGACCTTATCATTCACAAACAGCCCCATAAAGAGAGCAGAGTCACTCCCCTGCTAAACCATGTGGATATATTGTGATGATGACAACATCTCCCGGAGACATTTGCTTATCAGTACTTGCTGTTTCAGCAATTAGCAGAAACCCACAGATAGTAACGGGTAACACACACACAACTCTATCGGAGCTTTCCCCTGTTACCGCTCTTTTGTCAGTATGACAGCCACTGGTGGACCACAGCTGCTCCCACTCCGAGAGTACACAGCTCATCATCACCACCCACGTCCCAAATGAGGGGGAATCACACCGAGGAATTTTGACCCAGCACTACTGCACCCGGCGAAACACATCGCTGACAACATCCTCCGCCAGAGTCGGTCTGGTTGGACGTCATGCTGGAGGGAGTGGAGGATGTGCAAGAGATAATGGGACGGGAGCAGAGGAATGTGTGTGTGTGTGTGTGTGTGTTTGGCTTTCTGAGTTGGGTGGGTCATTCAATTCCGTTCTTATCACTTGTGTGATAGGCAGCTCAGAGATGCTGGCTCCGCAGAAGGTGTGGAAACATCAAATGTAAGCAAGACAAAATATACACACTCAACTGTCATCTCACCCTGTGATGGATTGCAATACAAGTCAAGCTGGAAGAGACAGAGAGAGCGGGAGGGCAAGGAAGGAGGGATTTTCTTTTTTTATGAGGGAATCCTATCTCACAAACGCAGACGACTAAGTCCACTATAATACTTCCACTTGCCTTCACAGGAGAAAGAAAATAAATCATATCAAAGGTCTGGGAAACGGGAGATCAGAAACACTGTTCTGAGACGATGTCACACACACACACACACACACATATCTGTGTACACAACTACACACACAAACAAAATCTTATCTAATGCCTCAAATGCATAAGCTTACACACAGACTTACGTACACGCTAACACAACTACACACACATGGGCTAATCAGGAGCAAATGAAATCTGAACTTGAGAGAGGGGTCAGTTTCTGAAATAACCACTGCGACCTTTGACGAGGTCTGCAGCGTTTGCATTTACAGCAGCCACATGCAGTGCAGAGGTTTTTGTAGTGACCGGTGCTGCAACACAGAAGAAGAGAAGGTGTGAAGGAAGTAGATGAGGAGCAAGAGGAGGAGTGGCGTTCTACGGCCGTCAGCGCACTCTTCCCCCCTCATGCAGCACTCTGTTTCTTGATGACTCCTGCGTTTGTGGTATTTTTTGCAGGCGGTCTTTTCTTATTTTGCAGGTAGATGCAGATTTTTTTGCCAGGGTGGGTCTCAGGTGTGGGTAGAGAAGAAGAAAAGGTTGGGGGGGAACGTGGGTGGGGGTGGTGATTTGGATCCTCCGAGGGTTTCTTTAAAATGCTGACTCTTTTTCTCGGCCGATGAAATGGCTTTCATAATACATGGTCAGGCTTGACTGTGGCGCCCACTTCCCCCGCAGAAAACTTCCAGCTACGGCGCAACAGTCACTGGCACTGCTTACTGAAAGATATTATACCTTCCTAATGTTAGGACGTTGAGACGTAAAAACACAGCAATGATTGGAGGGACAGGAAGTGTCATCTGTGCCCCAAAATGCTTGCATAGCTAGTCCAAATACTTTTTGCAATTCAGCAAAGGTGGATCCCTGATAGTCTCCAATGGCAAGGTTTTATCTGTGACTTAAAAATGACTGTTATGCTGACACGAATCGAAGGTGGGCCAACCAGGGCGAGCGACTGCAGAGGCGAGTCTGATTCTTTCACCAGATTAGACTGCCTACCTGCTCAAGGGAACGAAATCTAACACACAAGCTACAGTGTGTGTATTTAATCACTCCTACGGAGAAATACTCTGCACTATACTATACTATGCACGTTATATGAGTTTACAAATATTACAGCTGAAACCTTCCAAAAACTGATGACGATGAGTAAAGATGAAATGGTTATAAATAGTAAGCATGTCCGAATTATTTCTTTAACAAAGTAGGGGCTTCATCCGAGATTGCAAACACGCAGAAATTTTGTGTTTTGTGCAGTATTGGATTTGTGCATAATGGAGAGTCACAGTAGAGAGAGCACAGAAAGATATCAGACCTTGTTTTCCCATTCTCCTTCTCTCTTCTTCTACCTGTGCTCCCTCTACCTATCCCTTCGTACATTAAACAGAACACTGTACGCATTTATTCCAGCAGCTGGCACTGATAAACCACATGCATCTCTCTAAAGTGAAGCCTCAGCACTAAGGCCTGCTGCACAATTTTGTGTTTCACAGACATCAATCATGAACCTCGCTAAGACGCTGCATGTGTGTGTGTGTGTGTGTGTGTGTGTGTGTGTAAAGCACCTGCTGTTTACACACCTGCACTATCTATAGGAACTCCCTCTCTTCCATTGTCTGAAGCACAGAGCAGCTGAGGTCAGAGCTATCTGCTGAGTCAAGTGCAAACCAGAAGAGAGGTCATATGATATAATATCAGTGGCATAACGATATCAAACAATAATATATCATGCTGCCGGAAGACCAGAAAGTATCTACCTGCTGTATATCAACAAAGAAAAAACCTTCAATATAAATTAATCTAATATTGCAATAATTGTAACCATGATGGATCATTCAAAATAAAAGATTGTGACACAACCTCTACACACAACAACAGCAGAATTGACTGTTTCAAGAGCATAATAGTTGAGAATATAACACAAATTTAGGGTTCATACAACACCGTCAGTGTCAATTTAAGCACTACAGCATTCATCAAGAATGAACCCTCAGACAAAAGCAGATGAACATAGCGAACTTAAATCAAACCTACAAGAACTACAGCAAATAACAAATAAATAAATGGGAAGCAATGGTCTATTACAGCGAGGGAATCATACAGGAAGGTGTATAACTGATGCTTCTAAAACATTTATGGACTGTTTCACTGCCAAATTTCAGCATCCCTAATAATGTTGCCCACAGTACAGCCTTTACTGATTTTCAGAGGCACTGTTTTTACTATATAGTGACAGAGGAGATACAGATAAGAAACCACCAGGATGTCCCACACACACATAAATACACACACACAGCGTTTTTTTCCAGGCACGATTTTATTCAAGAGCTTCACAGAGTGCGTACGGAAGCACACAGATCGTGAGGGAAACAGCACCGACATCAGGGACCAGAAAGAGAGTCGTTGTAACCCGCTCTCATCAAACCTCTCTGGAGACCAGCCTGGCCCCAACACCAGATGTTTGCTAGCAGTTGTAGTTTTTTCTGCCACCATCAGTAAAAAACTCTACGCAGTTACTCTACGAGTGTGTGTGTGTGTGTCAGGGGGAGGGGAGGGGTTGCATTCAAGATATTGTTGGTAACCTTATGGGAAATCTACACATTTAAAAACAGGAGGTTGTATATTTTTGCATTTTACCCATCATGATTAATTACTAATCATCATAATTGTGGTATAGAGTTGCCAACAGAGCATTTCGTCACACACACAATGTTTTTGCTTTTCTTCATGACTCTAAGCTGAGGACGCTCTATTCGTTCAAAGTGTCTGAGCACATACCGTGTAAGAACATCCACCTCTGATGTACTACAGTAACGTTACATCAAAGCTTATAGATGATGAATTACAGGAAGAGATGACACAGTGACAGCATGTGCAAATCAATTGTTATTACAGTTGTCCTTGTCTACACTGAACAATATCGTTGTACAGTTGTAATATACTGTGATCTTGTGTGTGTGTGTGTGTGTGTGTGTACTCTCTAATAGGCCACCCTATCAAGCCATCTTACACATGACCGACCTGAGTGAGCTGGGCTTCCTGAGCGACAAGGTCAAATGAGGGAACTAACCCTGCCTGCAGGAGGGCTCAGTTACCTCTCCTACGTGGACATTTCTACTCTGTCAGCTGAATCGGCACACGGCTGCGCCTAAATGGAGGAGCAGCATGTTCGCCCATCAATGCAGGCTATAAAATACCACAAGAGCCCATGGTCCGACCACACATGCACAGGTTGTATATCTGAGCAAAGTGACCTTATTCTATCAATAACCATGACCTGGTTTTCAGAAAAGACCATCTAACCTGTTTATGGAGATGTAGTTTGATTCCAAAGGGCTTATTGAACACAATTATGTAAATCCATATAGGACTTCATATTGTTAATTATTTTTATGTTATATGTAAAATGTTTTATTTATTGGGTTTTAGCTTTGTCATTTAAATGTATCTTATTTCACATTAACTAATACAATAGATGGACATCTCTACTGTTTTGTAGAGGCTCATAATAAAAAACCCAGTTGGAAAAATATTGAGTTTTTTGTTAGTGCCCCAAGGAAGAAATGCAAAAAAAGATTCCATTGTTTTATACTGGATAAAACCTTTACAAGGTTGAACAAGGACCTGATTATGTATAGAACAGCCTTATTACAATAAAAACAATTTCCACAGTAGGTACAACTAACATACTGTTGAAGGCAGGACTCACCTGACAGCCCGTATGAGTGTCTTCACTGCTGGGATTACCTCCTCCATGGCCACGTCACAATATGGTTTGTCTTCCACACTGTCCTCCCCGACCCCCTCCACTGAGCCAAGACAGAGGGAGAGACTTTATTATGAAAGAAATGAACCTTGTGAGTGTGAATGGACATGTTTGTTTGGACATGTGTGTGTTGCCTACCATCAGCAGGTGGGCGTGGTTTAAGGCGAAGGGATGTGCGGAAGCGTGTGCGGTCATTAAAGCTCCAGCTCTTCTGGACCTTCCCCGGGCTGGTGGCCTCTGCGTCATTCTCCTGGCTGGGAGAGCGTCGGACGCTGGGCAGCGGCGACGCCTTGTTCCGAATGGTTTGGGATGATCGGGAATTGTTCATCCTAATACGATCCCGGAAGCCCATTTTACTGCTGACAGTGAAGATATAATATTCAAACATCTAAAGACACAATGTTCTTTCCGGATCATGATAGGTACTGGGCTTTTTTCAATGATCACAATGTCCATGCCTTTGACCTTAATGGGAAACTAAGCTGTGTTATCCTGGGAGTTTAGGGAAGCAGCAGAAGCCTGAGCTTGTTAGAAAAGAGTTTGTTAGTAATAGTGAATTATAGCCTTTTATAACAATCAACAACAAACAGACAAAACAGGGACACAAACAGCAAAGGACAGACTAGCTGACTTATCGTGGAAGCAGTTTGACCACAGGGACCACTCAATATTGCTAGAAACTGATTCTGCCTTGAGGATTTGCTTATTTAATGTGCCTATCATAGCACCTGATTCAGCAAAATCAGACTGAAACCTGATTCAAGACCTGCAGTAGTGCTGGGACGGCAGAAAATGTTCCAACCACCATCAGAATAAAGACACGCTTCCTTAATCCGTTCAACAGAGTGAGTAAGCATCAAAATATCGGCTTCAAAGCGCAGCCGTACAAAAAGATGTCTCATTAAGTACTCTCTATACCACTCACCAAAACCCGCGGCAGGCCGGTATGTGAGGTCATCTATTTACAGGAAAGCTATTTGTCCATTCCGTCCAACAGATTGACTCATAACGCTGCTGTTATGGCATGCTCTTGAGACTACTCCTTCACTGTAGCCACTTATATGTTGAACACTGTCACGGATCCATAAGGCAATGCAAACATCATGCACCACAGAGCAATTCCTGCCCAGTCGTTCACTCCCACATTTCTACGATGATATACTCTTTGTTGTGCGTGTGTTATGGACGGCCATTTAAATTAAAATTTAAATAGTTAAGGGATGTTAGTGGAAACAGCATTTCTTACAAGCAAGCTGAAATGCTTCAGGTAGACTGGAGAAAATGGGGAAGATAGAGTGAAGGACCTTTGCATGCTGTTGGGAGCAGAAGTAAATTATTTGGATGCATCCAGGACCGTAAACTTCACTGAATCTTTCCAAAACATTGAAAGAATATTGCATGCAAACCAAGACATTTTAGCACTTAAAAACCTTTTACAAATACAGCACATACACACTGATTTTGTACAAAGGTCATATGTGAAGTAGGAAAGCATGCTGAATCATTTAAACCTTCTATCCAAGAAGACACTATAAATGAGGCAAGCAACTGAATTGAAAACATAAAGCAAGTCAAGAGCGGGGTGATTCTTTTGACTTCAGCGACAATTGGGGGGTGATTTTCCTCATTTCATCAGAGACATTTGATGAAACACTGGCTAAAAAGAAACATTGTCACACTGTCACAGTCAGAGAAACCATCAAGGACTTCTGTTGTGTTTTCAACGCATGGTGTATAATGACTTTCAAGCCAAACCAAGCAAAATCAGCCTTAGTTTCTCCGGCTGGAGAAACATCCTTTCAGGAAAGAGTAGCACAGCATTTCTTCACAATAAAGGATTCACTCAAGCATTTGTGGACCAGAGTATAGTGTCTGTTTAAGGTATTTGATTGGTAAGAACAGGATATGGTAGAAAGTAAGGTAAATATCATGGCATTTGCTTCTCATTTTGTTAATTCTTTAATAAATTCACAAACTGCGAATAGTTTGATGCTTCAACAGAAACAAAACATTTAGCAAAGCAACTGCATCAGTCCACAAATCTTTGAGTGTTTCAGGCAAGGTGAGCAGGTTGTGTGTGTCAAAGGAGGAGTAGGAGTGGTGTTATTGATTTGATGACATTTTAGCGTGTCCCGTGCACAGGCTTGTTGCCGTGGATACCTCTGCTTGCGGCCAGCGTGAATCCGGAAGAGACCCCGTTTTTTAGAAAGGAGCTGACTGGGGAGACACACAAGGCAGAGGGAGAGAGGGTGAGGGGAAGAGAGGAGTGGAAGAAGGGACAGGGAGGGAGGTGAAGGAGGACAAGGAGTCCAGGGACACAACCTGGGTACACGGTGAACCCATGAGGACAAAACGTAGCAAAGGAAAAACCAGGGAGAGAGGGTGAGGTGGAGGGGTGAGGTGTGATGTCTCTATAGTCCAAATGGCCCTTTACTCTACTGATCTTGTTGTCTTACCTAAAGCTGGAAAATACACTTCTGAGAGGCAGTTTTAGATTATAGAGACACGGTGTGAAGTGAGGAGGTGGGATTGAAGGATCATGCAGAGGTAGTAGGTGTCACCTGAGTATATTCATCGAGACAGCCCATTAAACATCATGGTGTGACAGCCGCTCCTCAAATCGAAGACAATTCTACCAGCAAAACTTGTGTTATTCAGGTACACTAACGTGCTTCTCTCGTCTAATGCATGCATTACGTCCGTTAGTCCCTTCATAACCTTCGCTTTTGTTTAAGGATTTATGCTAAAGAAGTTATGAATCTAATGCAGCAATGAATGCCCTATCAATACCCTTTAATCAACAAGCACAGCTCTGGACTTGAAGAACAAACCTGCATGGAACTTCAGCCTTCCTGAGAACAGATGAAGGATGGAGGATGGACGGCATGGAAAAGATGCGATGGGAATAAAGGGGAAAGAAAGAGGAAGACAGGAAGAGGCAACCAGTGAGTGAACAGCGGGAGGCGGTGGAGATGGCAAAGAGTATGAGCTAAGCAGACAAAGATGCAGAGAAGCAGGGGGGCCTGCAACACAGTGGTCTCAGATCAGCGTTAGTGAAACATTGTTAGATACACGACACATCCATGCAGAAAACTCCAGAAGGAGTCAACCTTGATTTTCTTTGTACACCTGTTGAATGCAGTGTTCTGTAAGTCCCTGTTGTTACTGTTTTCATTGTGTGACTGTGCATGAGTGTAGGTAGACTTTCGGCCACCTGTCTGGATGTACTGTGAGGCTGTGTGAGGTGCCGGGGTGCGTACCTGTCCCCCGACAGGTAGGGGGAGCTGTAGGGCCGCAGCCCAGACAGCAGCGTGTGGTAGGAGTTGTGGAGAACCTTCTTGGTGTTACGCTGTCGCTGGAGGTGACTGAACAGTAGCGTCAGTTCTCTGACACCCCACGTGCACAAATAAACACAAAAACAAACAAAAAACATGACAAATGAACAAAAAACAACAAAATATGAAAAACTCACAAAAAGGCCAAATCAATGGTCCAAACGCTCAAAAGAAGAGGGATACTTGAGAGGAATAAGATGATAGATGAAATTTACATTTAAGATATTACATAGTGAAAGTTTTTATGTTAATGTAAAAGAGACGTTTCTATTTGTGTTTCTCACGTTCCCCTCCTTTTAAGCAAATAATAATTAGTCAAATTAATACATAAATGCAAAATATAAGAAACCACTGCGTATAACAAAAATAATTTAAACGTAATTGAATAGTGGTGGCAGAAGCAAACGAAAGGGCTAAATATGAATGGAAACATCATTCCTTTTTACTTGAGCCACCACTGCATTTAACTGAATCTTGATAGGTAAAAAGGTTTCATTTGCAATATGTGCTGTGTTTTCTCATAACAATATGAATGTACGAGCAGTAAAGGACCACTAATTATTGTGCGCAATATACTATTTTGTGATGCAACTCTCAAATCTCTGTCTGCACTTATTACATCACTTCAAACAAAGGACCAAAGACAACCACAGATTTCTGATGGTTGAATCCATTCAGAGCTGATAATGGAGACTGAGCACCTACCTGAACGAAGGCAACATGCTGTCATAGAAGTACCATGTGGCTGTTAGATATGAGTGTTTGGCATCTGTAGAGTAGAGACGCCATGCAGCCTACAGAAAAACACAAATGCACAACACAGAAACACAGAGCGACAGTTAACGTAACATACTGTACCTTGAGTGTGAGTTCATTAAACATCAGATTAAAACACTGAGGCCAATACCTGTATCAGGTTGGCAGCAGGCATCCTCCTCTTCTCAAAGTGCTTCTGCCGGTGCTGCTCTTGCACCTTCAAGGCAAAGCCTGACCCCAGGATTCCCTGAGGGTCAGAGGTCAAATCAAAGTCATGAGAAGAGCCACTAACATGTTTGTGAGTTAATATACGTTGATGTGAATAAACTTACGGCCGGAAGGGCAAAGAAGGAGACTCCGAGAAGAGCAAAGCCAGCAGCAAGGAGCCGCCCCTGCCAGGTACGAGGTGTCTTATCACCATAGCCAATAGTGGTTAGAGTAATCTGGGTAGGTGAAAATGTAAGATTTCACAATATGATAACAAAATGCACTGTACCAAACTGTGACACTGTATTCGTCTCTATGGTTGTTTCCAAACACAGAATTCACAGAAAATGCAACCTACAAAATATTTTGTATGAAACTACTACGCCTGTCATTTGCATCACATTTTTTTTAAATCATATAACTGCAAATGAGCGTTAGCTGATGTCCTTGACTGACTCCTTGACGATTCTGACATAAATCTGAAGTTTATTGAACAAAAAAGTAATTTTATAGTTTCAATGCTGCTCAAAAATCTTAAAGGATTGCCCCCGTAGCCTAATGGTTTGTTGCCTGTTTCTTCCAACATTTCCCATCTGTATCTTTATAGTCACAGTCAAACAAGGTAAAAAGAAAGCATCTTAAAATCTTATATCACTGCTGATATCTGTGTGCATTGTCAATGGATGAGGTAAAGCTTGAAATCAAGACTGACTTCTCTACTGTTGACACATGGCAAAAATTGAAATAAATGCAGTTGTTAAGAGCTATAATATACTTGTGATCTACATAATTATAATATGGTTGCACTGTTCCCAGAGGTCTTACGCTTAATATATGCCTCTTTATGTTTGTATTGCCTGTGGTTCCTAATCTGTCTCTTCAGCCACAGAGATCCTGTATGCATCATTTAGTACTCACAGTCCCCCACCAGAGGGAGTCTGCATAGGTGTTGAAGTCTGAGTTGATGTCTTTCTCTGCCAGGTAGACAAGGAAGGAGGCAAAGATCAGGACCAGGAAACCTATGTACCAGGCTGTAATCAACTCCTGAGAGAGAGAGAGAGAGGGGG